GGACGCTACTAGGGGCTCCTGGCCGTACTACTGGGAACAAGAAGCTAATTACTAGGGGCAGAATACTGAGCCTCCCAAGAGCCTTTTGAAGTGGCCTTCCCAACACAGCTCCGAGCGTTGCAGATCATTCCACGGTGTTCTTTCATGGCCAACCTACTAAAGAAGAGTATGCCGTTCGTCAAAACTCAGGGGTGCTATTGATGGAGGATAGATGAGGATCTAGTGACTCCACTGCATGCACTTGAGATGAACTCCAGGCCACTCCGGGCCACCCTTTTGGAACGAATCTCCTGTGAGGATTCCTTCGTTTGGGATTCCTTTACGCCATTTCAAGGCCATCGTACCAGCCTGGCCAATGGTGGTTTTCAGGCTTCCCATCAGAGCTTTGACTGGCCTTGGCCAGGGGTTCAGGGGTTGTCAACTGTCACAAAGGTACCAGGTTAGCTTGTGCCTGGACTCCCTTACTTTTGTGTTACCTTTTTCGGTATGCATCAAGGCAGGCTTTCCTCCCCCAGAATTGCAGAAATGATCCAAGACGGATTGGGGCCATTAATTGAGGTTCAGAATCTGATGACACAAAGGCACACGACTGCTGGCAGACTAGGGATGCTTTCCCTCCAGGCAGCTGGTCTTCTCCAGAACCTCCAGAACAGTTTGATGTCTTCTGAGGATGATGAAAGAAACTAATTATCGACGCGAGTAATACCGAGTATTTCATGGTTCCCAAACACAGAAGATGCAAAGATTCATTTGTCTTTGGGCGCAGGGAAACCATCCAGTGTCCATCCAGCTTCTGCCAAGATGGATGAGCCTCGCCAGAATCCCTTGCCTGGCAAATTCTCAGGCTCTTCATGTGGCCGGTGCCTCGTGGTGGAGGTTGGCAGTGCGGCAATGCAGTGCTCGACCCCAGCTCTGCCAGGGACCCTCAGTTAGGAGCACCGGATGCCATTTCGGACGCGGAGCACCGCACACCAGCGGCCGCCACTTGTGTCAAGTTTACAACATGGATCAACATGGTAATATCCTTGATGTTTTCCAGACACTGCCAGTCACTGCACAGGACTGAAAACTGCCGAAAAACCACCCCCCCTGTTTTTTGTGGTAAGTACTTATGAGTGTTTATGTATGGAGTGTTTAGGTCTCTTCAGCCCAAATCAAGACTCCATGTGTTTGAGGCTTGGCCGAAGCTGTGCTGGGTCACAGAGGATGGCCGCGTCTCCACTTGGGCACCGACCTCGGCCAAACTGGCGAGGTGACTGGGGTGACTCGGGTGATTCTTTGGCTGTTGACCCATGCCCCTGCGAATGCATATCTGCAGTGCTATGCTGTAGTGCTTTCCATGCCCCATGCATCCCAAAAAGCAATGGGACACACAGTTCCTAATATCATAGCATATTAGTAGACTGTCATCGGATATCTTTGCGCAGCTGTATGCTAGAAATGGCATCAAAAGCATGTTTGCTGCAGGTTGAGCTTTACGGTACCAGGTGCCTGTGTCCCAGCGACTTTCGGTTGGAAGCATCAAATGGTGCTCTTAGATGATACGATGTCAAGCCTGCCGGGACTTTCTCATTTCATCCAGCTTGGTGTTGGACGTCTCGTACTTCACAAACAGGATTTCGTGCCTTTGGGTCATCCCAACACTGGTGGGAAACATCCAGAAACTTCATGCGGATCAGGCTATGACGCATGCGTTGGGCTGCGACTTCTTCCTGCTCTGTTGGTCGTTGGACGGGTGGTTCAATGATTGACCTGGTTCTGTTGTTCGTGTGATGGCAGGTTTAGCACAAAGAGCCTCCAGATCTTTGATTTTTCAGAGTGAGAGCTCTCAACGTTTCTGATCGAAATCTGAGTTACTGTACTACGTGCGACGCTCCATGGCATGGAGTCCATGCCCGAATCCTTCTCTGACAGTTCTGCTTCTGTTGCTTCTGGAAATCGATGGCACTCCGTGCCGTACCCCACCCAATCATTGGCAGCTTCAACCTTATTTCGCCAAAAGCGGAGGGCTCTCGCACTCCGACGCGACCCACAGAAGCCTTTTGTCATGGACCTGGTTTGGGGTCGAACGGAGAGCAAGCCACCGACTTCCGCCGTCGGAGAGTTTCTGCTCAGGTCCGAACAGATGGTACCGATTACAAGGAGGAGCGGGTGGAGCAGGTATGGTCGATTGCACCAGAAACCATGGTTTGGGGCATCCCTTTGACGTCACCCATGGTTTCTCAGGTGGCATGGTTTTCTTGCAGACTCGCATGACTGACGCATGACTGGCGCATGGCATGACTGGTCACCTAAGCGATCCACAGGAGGCCATTACAAATAGTGACAAGAAGCTACTAGGTGGAGGCCATTGCTATTAGGTTGGAGGCCATCGCTGCTAGTAACAAGAAGCTACTAGGGAGAAGCTACTTGTTGGAATGAGTTCAAAAGACCAGAGAACTTCGACCCTCGCTTTCGACATCCGTCATGGCAGTGGACGCTTTTTGCTGATACTCGGGGGACGCTGATTTGTGTGAAGACTTGTTTTCTGTTCCTGTTTTTCTTTGTTTCTAGGCCTCCAACCTACTAGTAATGGTCTCCAGACTCAAGAAGACTTGGTAGTTGGGCTCAGAGTCTCATTTCGCACGTCCCTTTGGTGCCATTCGATCCTTCACGAGGAGGCTCAGGATGAGGAGCGCACTGTGGATGGCCAAGGGCCATTCTTCTGTGCCACCCCGGAATCCTGGGATTGAAGGCCCTGAAGGCCACCTTCGGCCCTTCGGCGGCGAGGGTAGCGATGTAAAAGGCCAGCGGCCGCCTGGCTTTGAGGCAAGTGAGGTGGATGAGGCGCAGAGCTTTGAGGATCCAACCGAAGGAACCTTAGCGTCCTTGTTACTAGTACTAATAAGAATGCTACTAGTAATGCCCTTTGTTACTAGTAGCGATGCCCTTGCTCCAAGTAGCGTTCTTGTTACTAGTAGTAAGGCTCTATGGCATCAAGATTGGAGGATAAAAGATGTTTCCAAGTGGCGACATGCCATGGGTTCTCCAGCAGTTTGTCCCTGTGCCATTCTCATCAACCCTGACAGCCGTTTTTGGATACATTGTCCTAAGAGGGCCGATCGTCTCAAACGGGTAGTGTTTGGGGAAAGGTGGTTTCAACCCTCATGTCCTTTGATTTGATGAGGCACTCCAAAGATCATAAAGGTTTCTGCATTTGCTCCATAATACAACTTATTCGCGTGCTGGGCTTTGCTTCCAGCTCTAAGCACGTGGAGCTCGGGAACCTGGAGCTGCAAAGGGGTACAAGTTAGCCAAGAATTCAAGCCTTCCAACCTAGTAGCGACTTGCTAGTAGTAGTAATGGCCTCTAACCTAGTACCTTCTTGTTACTAGTAGTAATGGCCTCCAACCTACTAGCAATCGCCTCCAACCTAATTGCAATGGCCTCCAACCTAGTAGCTTCTTGCTACTAGTAGTAATGGCCTCTACTGGTAGTAGTGGCCTCCAACCTAATAGCGATGGCCCCCAAGTAGTTTCATCTCCGCATCTGCGATGTGTTTTGCCCACATCGCCACCTCAAAGGCTCAGAGTCTCGTTGGTCAAACTGCATGAGCTGACGCCCGCCGTGAAAATATGGCCCGATTTAAATTCGCTGAGGCCAGGTTGTTATAGATAAATATGAACAAGCATATCCCAAAGCAAGGACCATGGTTTTATCATAATCGGCACGTTCTCGTGGTCCTTGAGCTTTCTCTTGAATCTTCCACTGCATCCTGAGAGACCACAAAGAATATAGATCCTCAGAGACGACAAACACAGTAGATGAGAGACTTGCCAACATTTGCACACCAACGGACGATCGGCGGAATCCTTCCGAATGCCTTCCGCAAACGTCTCGAGCATCCTCGGTACCACGGTCAGGTCCTGGTGCAGAACGGATTAGCCGAACGAGAAAGGATTTGGAGTCTGGGTGTCCACGCAAAACTGAGGGATGTAAGGAAGGCATGGAACACGTATGAAGAACCTTTCTTTTGCCCAACGGCTTGAGAAAGCTCAGGGACGCTATTAGGTTGGAGGCCATCGCTACGAGGAGGGAAGCCATATCGCTAGTAGATTGGAGGCCATGGCTACTAGGTTGGAGGCCATTGCAGGTTGAAGGCCGTGGCTACCCATTGCTATTGGGTTGGAGGCCATCGATATTAGGTTGGAGGCCACTGCTAGTGGGTTGGAGGACAACGCTACAGTAGTAGGCCAAGTTCCCGCAGGGTCGATCACAATCCTGGTCTGACAGAGGTGGACTCCGACCTTGGACTGCACGAAGGCCAGACACTCCGGACTGAAATAAGTCTACATTGACCCCTGAAACCAACCCAATGTGGGTCAATACATGTCAATTATATGGGTATGCCTTTCATGTGTTTGTTGGAGTGTCGTGGGCCTTTCAGGTGTTCTTCACCCTTTGGAGATGGAAGCCCCGCGATGGTAGCCCCGACCGGAAGACAGATCGTCCAGAAGGGCAGGGATTGTTCCAACTTGTTGCAGCTATCGGGTTTTGGTATCGACCCTTTGAGTCAGAAGGAGTCGACCTTTCGTACATCCGGTCGCCAGGTCCGTTTAGGCTCCGTAAAAGAAAGGACCTCCTGGGCTGGGCCGAACGGCACATAGGTTCGGGCCATCTGCGACTGGCACTGGAAACCCTGCACACCCTTTGAATCTAAAGCGCCACAGGTAGCGCTTTCAAACATCAAGCCTGTTGTTTGAGATGGTGCAGGGGAGCTGATTCATCAGCCAGGCATGCTGATCAGCTACACTCAGCTGGAAGGTTTATACGAAAATTTGTCGATGACAGGGGCCATTGCCCTTGTTGTATGCCGAAGGTGGTCAGTCCAGAGCGTTGCGCACGGTCCAATGTGAAACAGAAGAACTAGAATTTTCCCAAACAATGGCTTGGAGCAAAAGAGATTTGACGAATTGAAGAAAATATGTGAAATATTCGTTCAAGATCATTCCAAACTTGTTTTCTTGTCGGTTCTATGGATACCAAGTCCAAAGATCCAATCGAATTGGTCTATCTCGTTCTAGATGTGTATCATGATCTCGATGAGATCGACACTGGAGGGCAAGATAAACACCATTTGCACCAGGAGGGCTGAACTTGCCAACTTGGACCCCTCCTTCACAGTGCTGTTTCAACCCTCTTTCACCATCGATGTCGCCTTTCATCGTCCACAGCGTAACTGTGGATCTTCAGCGTTTGAAGTGAAAACTGTCATTTCCCGTGAAAACTCCCACCCCCTTCAGAATGGGATGGCGAGTCCCAGTCCGATTCACCTCACCCGTGGCTCGTCGCGACGCGCCGGGCTCGTCGCTGGTGCTTGGTGGCGAGCTCCAAGATGTGGTTTTCGCGAAAACGATGAATGTCACATGGGTATAATTACTTGGTCACTACTGGTGCTTAGTCAGGCTTAGTGAGGAAATGAGGAAGGGAAGGTCAAAACTAGCTCATCCCTCATTTTTCGTACGAGTCACACCAGTCAGTTTCAGGCCCTAGCGATCAAAGTCAACACTTCCTGGCGTCGGCGTCCTCTTGATTTCTTTAGACCGGTCATAGACTGACAGCGACCGGTTTGGTATAACCGGTGAATTCCAACCGGTCCGAGTGGTGCGAGCGTTCTTAGATGGACTGACACGAACCCAACCCGATGGCCATCTGCTTTCGTGTTTGGCAAGCTCTTCGTGCTCAGCACGCTCTGTGACTGACGTGTGAGACACCGGAACAGCGCAACCAAAAGCTTGAGCTGTAGAAAGGGTTCCCTGGAACATCCTGGAACCATTTGGAACCCCCCTTCTCGAAGGTCATTGATGTTTTCTCTGAATCCTTCTGAATCCAAAAACGGATGTTTGCCTTGGGCTTTTTCGCAGAGGCCGAGTGGGATTCCAAGAGGGTCAAGTGACCAGCGTCATAGGAGTCATCCCAGGGACCTTCGGCGAGGGAGGCCATGGAAGAATGGTCGGCCTCCAAAAAGAACAAAGTAGAAACAAGAAGCTACTAGGAGCAAAGGGCATCGCTACTAGGAGCAAGGACGCCTGGCCTTACTAACTAGAATTAAGTCTAATTAGAGTAAAAAAACGACACCTAATAGCGATGGCCTCCACCCAGCAGATCCAATCACTGGGAAAGAACGGCAGTTTCTGCGAGATGTTTTGTGGGGTGTGGAAGTGGAGATGTTTTATCATGTGTATGACATGCAAAGATAAGGAGTTACTTTGGCAAGAACCTGCATTTCCTGGGCCGGAAGCCCTTCCTAGCACCGGTAGCCACAAAAGCCTTGGATTGGTAGCTTGGACCCCGAAAAGCGATTTTGTGCTTGGATTGTGTGCGAATTTGCTATTTTCAGGTTCCGTGTCCATCAGCTTTTAGGATGGTTCAAGGATTTCTCCCAAAACGGTGTCGTTTGGCTGGCTTGAGATATCGTACAAAGAACACTGCATCGTTTAAAGAGCCAGTCAAGCTAGTTTCTATTGCCATCTCTTGTCATCCTTCACCCATGAGATGAAGGGATTGCCATGAGATGAGCAGATGGATGGGCATTCTGATTGATCCGTGCAACTGGTCACTCTGAGAGGTCTCCTCAAATGAGTAAAAAGAACCTTCTGCGAGCATGTGCGAACACAAAACACTTCTAACTCACACAAAAAACAATAAACACGCAAAGCACATATACCATTCCTGTCAGATCCCGTCAGGCTTTTAGGGGGATGTGCATGTTTCCGGGGGCCGTCGCGGATTCGCTTGAGTCGACCTTTGGAGTGTCCCCCCAACGCCAACGCTCACGCCCTGCCGCTCTGCCAACGCTCACATGTCTCTCGAAACGTCGTGTTTACATCACCGTCAAGCGCCAACAACTGGGATGTTTTTCAACGACGCGCCAGGGTATTTCGCCTCGAGTGGGGATTGGCTGAAGCGAGTGGATTGGGGTTCGGGCGCATCGTGCCCTGTGAAGCGCCAATGGCCTCCACCCTGGCGATGGCCTCCAACACCCTAGGTAGTAGCGATGGCCGCTAACCTGAGAGCGATGGTCGATGAGGTCTTGAGGGCAAATCATTCAGCTGCCCGTCGGGATGAAATTGACCATAGTTGGCCCGACCTTTAAAGGAGAATCCGAAAAAGGCAGCAATTCGGCCCACCACATGGGTACATTTCATCTCCAGGGCAGGATTCCTCCAGTTGGACCCTGGTGTAAGTCGGCAGGCCCGAGTGGGTGGTGACAGTGTTTTTGGGGTTCTATGTCTATGTCACAGCTGAGTGACCTGGGCTGCAATTATACAATCATTCGCTTCCAGCACTTTTGGAACAAATTATTTGAGCAGTCTTAGCCAAATTGTTGGCTTGAACAGTGAGGAATTCCAACAGTTGTTTCAGCCAATCCTACCCGGCACGAGCTTTACTTGGGCGGTCGAGATGATGAGCGTATTGGGTGGGCGAGCTGTTTTGGTGGATTTCCACACCCGGATATGAGGTCTCTTCGGAGGGCACCCGGCAACAAAACCCTGCAGGAATGGGATGTGTTTCTGTTTTTGTTCTGAGGTTGAGACCGCATTCTGCCAAAGAGATCCAAAGAGAAACTTCAGAGAAACATAGAGAATCTATTCATTGATTCATATTGATTCTATCGTTAAACTCAAAACCATAACTCATTATATGTTCAGAGACAAACAAAATCAGTTTCTGGTGCTGAGCTCAACATCTCGAGTTCAAGGCCTGCAACAGGCTGAGCTGGCTTTAGTGGCTCAGTAGTTAGGCCACCGCAGATGCGCATAGGCTGTTTGCGCCTGTAGTGGACATTCTCCGCACAAAAAAAGATCAAAAAGGGATGCCAGGGCTAAAGTTTGGGCGGTCAAACATTTAGAGTCCTTGCGAATGAAGTGTGCCTGATAGGCTCCTTTCTTTGTGATTTGCATCCCAAGGAAATGTTGGTTGTTTCTTTTCCGACGCGGTGTTTGTTCGTGTCCCGCCCATGTCGTTCTGGAGGCTATCACTATTAGGTTGGAGGCGTGGTTCCAGGTTTGGAGGTCGTTCATCCTTCGCTGGCTTCGGGATGTCCGCAGACTGAGCTCTGGAGCAGCGAGGTTCATGACTTTGGGGTCACAAAAGGAGTAATGTTCAGTCCCATCCAGTGAGTGGATCGGTTGGTTCCCTCCATTGAGCACCCCGACCACGTCTAAACCTCCTGTTTCATGTGGTGAGTGGCTCTTTTTGTGATCAGTCAGCCAGTCTACTTTAAACATCTTTAAACTATGCAAATCACCCAACTGTGACCAACTGGTCGGCAGAGGGGGATTCCAGAACATGGCTTTCCTTTTACCAACTGGAAGCTGTTCGCTTTCACGGTCCATTGGAGCGAAGACTGGCCACAGCTTGTTCTCTTTCATAGACCAGGCCATCCACGTGAAGAAGAAGAGCGAGAGTGCCAAGGCTGGAGCGAAGATAGCAGAAGATGGGCTGGATTGGACCGGGAGACTTTCACCATGGCCCAGCGGAAGGGCTGTGAATAGATGAGAGAGATCTCTCGCCATGACCCAGGAGGATCTTACCGTGCTTTCGAGAGCTTCCTTGCCGATCCGCCCTAGTTGCCTGTGTCTATCTTTTTACTATAAACCACTACCTGCAGCCTGCTGCTCCAACCTAGCAATGGCCTCCAACCTAATAATGATAGCCCCCAACCCAATAGCGATGGCCTCCAACCCCTCGAAAATGCATGAAACTACCTTTACTGTGATTCAAATTGTGTGGATTCCTTTTTCTTCAGGAAGTGAAACTCGTGCTACTCTATCCCCAACAAGAGTGCGCTTGGAAAGAGGAAACAATAATATTTGCCAACAACTCATATGTTCTATCAAAACTCTTGGATGTCTTTCGCTACCTACCCTCATATATTCGCTACTACGTTGGATGGCCATCGCTAGTATATAAGTTGGAGTAGGTTGGAGGCCATCGCTATAAAGCTTGGAGCCATTGCTCTTAGGTTGGGGGCCATCGCTCTTTGGTTGGAGGCCATCGCTAGTAGGTTGGAGCCATCGCTCTTAGGTTGGGGGCCATCGCTAGTAGGTT